TGTTTGGCGGGTCCGGGCTGGGGATTCGAACCCGCCACCTTAGGTGTACGTGGCTGGCGCCTTAGCCGGTTGAGCTATAGGCGCCGAGCCGTTTGGGTACCATCTTCATCAATAACCTTAAGAATATAATAGTTAAGGAATATAAACATCTAGTTATTTACTTTTTTCCTTGTAATTTTAAGAAACGAAAAGTTCACTCAAGAGTTATTAAAAAACCTGCACTGAAAATCAGGTCCTCATAAGGACTAGAATATCTCATGAAGATGGGGAAAAAAGCTGAATGAGATCTTTTAAAAATTAGTTGCTACAGATCCTTTATGTTTTTTCACCGAAAAATTAGAAATAATTTTAAGCCTCTAGCCAGACTGGGTAAGAAATTTTCATTTCCCTTGAAACAAATTTTTTTTGGGGGGGGGTGTTAGAGTTGGCAGAGTATATACAAGAATTCAATTCACAGCTGTTCTACTTTTTTAGTGTAAGAAGCATTAATCAAAGCATTAAGTCATGAGCTTTCTCCTGTTGTTTAGTATTCCAGTTCAACAGAGATCAACAGAGGCCGTCCCAGCGTTCCCGACGCCTCCCCCGGAAGCAGAGGCGTGATTATGCAAATGCGGCTCCCACCTCTGCCAGCCAGCTTATCTCCCCAGCCCGCGGCTGCCGCCCGGCTCCCTGGCTAACGAACGCAGCCTCTCCTCTTATCTCTCAACAAAGCTCTGAGAGGCAAGGCTCGAAGCCAGCGATGCTAAACAATGAGGCATGGCTGATTTTATTTGTAAGTGATTTATTTCACTGAATTTAGGTTTTTTTCATTTCGTGTGTAAGATATTTGTTAACAAGTCAGGATAGGAGAAATAGGGCAGTGTTCAGAGACAACCGATACAGGTTAGAAATCTATTAAGCACGTCAGCAGCTGCCTCTAAACCCAGGGAAGATGACGGGAGATCCTCTTTGAGAATTTTAACACGCATTGACTAGATGTCCCATTTACTTTCTGAAAGGCAATTAATCTGTAATTACATGCAGAAATTTACAAGTAATAATTTTATTCTTTGAAAAAAACCACAGTAATCATATAATCAGTTTAAGTGGAGTACACATTTTTTTTTTTCCAAGTTTGGAAATATAAAGAGAGTAAAACCCCCCAAACAAGGGATTCCACTGAAATTTTTGCAATTTTCCACTGGCCTACTGCATGAAAATGATTGTGAACTAGTTTCTAAACAGGCTCCACACCAGGTGCTGCTCCGTCAGCGGCTCGTCCGCATGGCACAGACCACTCCAGAGACACACGCATGCTGCCCTGCTGTAATGACGGACCAGGGACACTGTCCTTCCATGTCTCCCGCATTAATCCCTGACCCTCGCGTCTCGCAGCATAATCCCCATTTAGCATTAGTAGCAACGGCTTCCACTGTGAGGAACTCTTTTTTGATAAGTAAGCACTGATTTGGGCATCGCTTTTAAACAACATATTCCCAGCTCAGCAAGAAACCCACTCCTGAATGAACTGGAGCACATTACTGAGAAAAAGTTCATTAACCTTGCTAGATTTGGAGGTTAACAGGATAGCTGAAGAAAGGAACTGAGTGAACAGCTCGGATACAAAACAAATTAAAATGAATGTCATCATTCCTTTTGATATTCATTAGTTGATTCAGAGGGAGAATGCTCTTCTTAAATTTGCAAGCATTTATCTGTGAAAAACAGGTGTACATCTGCTGCTCCCCTGCGTCATGAGCGCGTGAGAGAATAATGTGGACACTCACCCATTCCACTGAGGGCGTAGCTGGGAGAGGGAGAAAAGACCTGGGCTGCGAAGTCCTCAAACGTCATGACTTCACGGTGGTTCTGAATTATTGCTTCGAGGTACAGAGCTCGTTCTTCGTAGCTGCAGAAATCAGTTAAGGAAACAAATGCAGGTGCCAAATGGTGTGCCCGCCAGGGACACAGGTCAGTCTGTCTTAGTCACGCACCTTTTACATTTGTGTGTAAAAACAGTACCTTGTAAGTTGGTTATTAGCATCTTATCAGAAAAATTAAACCTTAGTCAGAATAGATAATAAAATTCTGAGTGTAGAGACTTAAGTTTCTCTTAGACTTCAACTGCATTCAACACCAGTATCACTGAGAAACAGGCAAAACAACAGCTACAGAATGATATCGAAAGATCCTCCACCAAGGGTAAGACAGTGACTGCAATGGCATCGCTTCCCACTGAAAAGCTGTGGGATTGTCACGTCCATTTCAGTGGCTACTACGTTCTTCTCAGCCTTCTGACGTAATGAACTGATATTTCATGTAAGGACTGATCTGACAGTGAACACACTTTTTTAAAAATAAGAAACTGAGGCTCGGCGCCTATAGCTCAACCGGCTAAGG